TCATTTGAGCTCTACGCAACGACTAACGGCCTCCCGATTTTGGTACAATCATTTGAGCTCTACGCAACGACTAACGGCCTCCCGATTTTGGTACAATCATTTGAGCTCTACGCAACGATTAACAGCCTTCTGATTTTTAAAACTTTGAGCTTTTCACATTACATATTCAACATAAAGTATTTAAGCCATTTACTGTGTTGTACTCAGACATCTAATTTGCTATATAGCACTAATGATCGTTAGCCGAAGATACAATAACTTGCAATATATATATAGATATATAATTAAGCAGCTTATTTCATGGAATATTGGCTTGTTGGAATATAATAAATACTTTCCGGTATAATTATAAAGAATCCAGTTGAAGCCAAGGTTTCTATTTAATGATGACCGTGTTTAAAGATAATAGCACAGATTGGAGTAGAAGTTTCTTACTTGTAAGGCACGTGTTTCTGTCCGTTGAAAAGGGCAATTATGACATTCCCTAAAGCCGAGAGGGAGAGGCTGTGTCCCCCATTAGCATCTCGTGGCCTTGCTACTTTGTCACAGCTACCTAGATCAAACAGGTGCAGACGACTTCGACCTCCGGCGACTATGAAACACGAAATACGTATTTTTTTACAATTTCCAAGTACAGAAACACAAAATACGTATTATTTTACTATTTTCCAAGTACAGAAACACAAAATACGTATTATTTTTACTATTTTTCAAGTACAAAAACACGAAATACGTATTATTGTTTACTACTTTCAAGTACAAAAATACGAAATAGATTTTTTTACTATTTTTCCAAGTACAAAAACACGAAATACATTTTTTTTACTATTTTCCAAGTACAAAAACACGAATACATATTTTGTTTACTATTTTTCAAGCACAAAAACACGAAATACGTTTTTTTTTTACTATTTTCCAAGTACAAAAACACGAAATACATATTTTTTTTACTATTTTTCAAGTACAAAAACACGAAATACGTTTTTTTTTACTATTTTCCATGTACAAAATGCCAACAAAAGACGAGGTCTCAATATTTCTGTGAAGTTAAACATGTTGTACTGTTTTGTACGAAAATAACATATTTTTACCACACTTTCGGAAAATATCATACCAACGAACTGTGTGAGTTTGTAAGCAAAACACGTTACCTTTTATAGTATAAAACATTTCCAATATAACTAGAAATACCTATAATAATGTAATAATAACGAACAAAAAAATGTGTACAAAAAATATTTTGACTAGTAACATTTAACTGTCCATAAACAAATGCTTTGTTTTATTATGCCAAACCTAATTTTATTTTTTTCCACTGCTGTTCAGTTTGAAAACCTTGAACGTTGTGCAGTTGTTAAACTAATCTATCAAATCATGAAGCTTGTAAAGTTTAAAGGTGTTATGCTTCTCCCTATTATTCGTTAGTTATCTCTATTATCCGTTAGACATCACAGAACTCTATGTATTTACTAATCATTCTCCAAATAGCTGAGCCCCCCAGTGGTACAGCGGTATGTCTGCGGACTTACAACGCTAGAATCCGGGTTTCGATACCCGTGGTGGGCAGAGCACAGATAGCCAATTGTGTAGCTTTGTGCTTAATTACAAACAAAACCAAATAGCTGAAACTTGCTGAGACCCCTTAGAGTTACATAGAGGTAGTATTTAGTGAAATGCCTTGGAGACAGTAGCCTAGAACTATGTGTTGCTGAAATGCTGTTCATGTTCTCTCTGGAAAACATGAGTGGGAAAGTTAAGAACACAGTGTTAAAAGTTTAATAGTATTACTGTGATGATTTGTTACACTTTCTCGCTCACGACTTTCTAGATACGTACGCTACGAAGTGTTCAAATATCAGCTTTAAATTAGGTATCAGTTTCTATAGTTGTTAAAACAGCCATGGGCACTTACAACAATATTTATAGTTTTAGTAACTTGAATAAAACTCATACAGTCAAATTCTGTGATAAATTACAATAGTTTTGTAGGTAAAGAAATTATAACATTACCTACCCTGAAGGGGTCTAGAATACTTATTTTATATCTTCATTTGAATCTTGCAGAAACACGACTGCTCTTTTGTATTAGTAAAAAATGTTATGTCTTTTATTTCGCATTGTTCCATGAAATCTCAGAAAATATCTAAGATCTAATATCTAATATCTAATCGGTAATGAAATTAAAGAAAGATCAAACTAAATATTCTTACCACCACTTCGATTTCCCTTTTCGAAACGGTACTGATAGACGTGAAGGGTGAATAAAAAATGGGAGTTGCGTGTATCTTCTTCTTTTGCTGATGAAAACATAAAGCAGGGTTATATAAAATAATACGTGAGGATTATATAATATAATACGTCAGGGTTATATAAGATAATACATGAGGGTTATATAATATAATACGCCAGGGTTATATAAGATAATACATAAGGGTTATATAATATAATACGTCAGGGTTATATAAGGTTACAAATGAGGGTTATATAAGATAATACGTAAGAACAACGTTTCTCTGTAAAGAAAAAAACATTATACAAATAATACACTAAAATGAATATATATATATATATAATCAAAATTTTTACTTAGAAAAGAAACGAAGAGTGATGAATCATTGCCTTTAAATAAATAATAAAATGTAAAAATGATTGCACAAGTAAGGTCAAAATAACAAAACTCAAATATTCGGTATATGATTCAACATCTTCGTTTACAGAAATTCGTTGGAATCATTTCTGATTTTTTTTGTAGTTAAGCACAAAGCTACACATTGGGCTATCTGTGTTCTGCCTACCACGGGTATCGAAATCCGGTTTCTAGTATTGTGAGTCCGCAGGCATATCGCTGTGCCACTGGGGGGCTCCTGAAATGAACCGTCAGAATTTGTACGTCCTTCGGTAGGATAGCGCTAAGTCTACGAACTTACAACGCTAAAATCAGGGCTTTCGATTGCCCTCGGTGGACACAGCAGATAGGCCAATGTGTTTTTGGCTATCACACGTGGACTTTCTATAGTTTTTATATCTGTTGATTGTTTTGAATATTAATTAATAGTAATTTTGCTTAGGTATAATATCCGAGTTCAGGGATATTTGGTTTAAGGTCTACATACTAAAAAACACACAAGAAACACAGCTATTCAACTTTAACTGTTAACTGGGGGAGACATATCCTATTTTAAAATAATGGCTAATACAAATAAAAGCTAGTTGTCGTTTGGTAACGCTCCGTTCGTCAGTGTCGCTTAGCAACAAAACTATGTATATATATATATATATATATCAGATTCGAACTTAAAAACGCGGAAAACTATTTTAACTACATAGGCCACATCAACTTTGTGGATTTGTGAGTGAAACCTTCCACTTACCACAGAGCCACTGGAGTAAGACAACTTCATGATATACATAAATATGGTGAACTTCAATAATTTCTGTTGGGACGTTACAAGACAAGGTTTTGATGATAAGATCATGTTAGTGACCCCTACTTTTTTATTATCATCCCGGATAACTGGTCTAATATATATAATTTCTGTTGGGACGTTACAAGACAAGGTTTTGATGATAAGATCATGTTAGTGACCCCTACGTTAGTGACCCCTACTTTTTTATTATCATCCCGGATAACTGGTCTAATATATATAATTTCTGTTGGGACGTTACAAGACAAGGTTTTGATGATAAGATCATGTTAGTGACCCCTACTTTTTTATTATCATCCCGGATAACTGGTCTAATATATATAATTTCTGTTGGGACGTTACAAGACAAGGTTTTGATG